ACATGACAAGGTGCCTCCTAAAAGGTTTATTATAAGAGCTATCTCTGTAGATATGGGGGATAGGTTGGCTCATTGGATGGCAACCTGACTAGATGAAAGAAAGCAGGGACTTGTTATAAATGTAGTTCATTCAAACTGGACTAATGTCACAAGTGGGATACCTCAGGGCTATGACCTTTGTTCTTTTTTATTTACAGCACTGACATAGGTGAAGGAATGCTCAGTAGATTATTTAAATTTGCTGATGACATTAAAGTTTTGGGCATTGCTGGCTGTGAGGAGGATGCTACTGCCTTACAAAAGGATTTGGATGAATTAGGCATACAAATGAGGGATGGTTTTTAGTTACTATAAATGCAATGTAATGCATGTGGCATATGACAGCTTGTATTATAACTAATTTTTTAATGGGAATAACCATAAGTGTTATGGAAGAAAAAAAATCTTGGTGTTCTGGTTGATCAGTCTCTTAAGCCATCCAAGCAATGTGCTGTTGTTAATGTCAGGGCAAATAGGTTTTTAAGTTGTATATACAGAAATAATGAATGCAAGTCTAAAGAGGTTATATTGCCATTGTATAAATTGTTGGTTAGGTCACATTTGGAATATTGTGTTTAATCTTGGCTTCTTATCTATAAAAAGGGTATTGAATTGTTAGAACGGGTTCAGAGTAGGACTATTAAAATGATAACTTTTCCATCCTAGGTAATAGAATAAATCTTATTGAGGGGTTTAAGATTGTTAATGGAATTGATAGTGTTTATGCATTATCTTTTTTCATATTTAATGGTGAGAATGATAAGACATGGTATATAAATATGAATTTTGGTAGGGAAGACGTCATCTTCAATTAAGACAGCTTTATTTTTTCTAACAGATTAGTTGGCTTCTGGAATGGGTAGCATTAGGATGTGGTGGTTACAGTTAATTAAAGAGAGTTTAAGAAAAATGCTGATAAATATTTGAATGATAAAGGCTGGCTCAAAGTTTTTTATTTTATAAGGTTTTAGTTTCATTTAGTGGATAGGATAGCCTAGATGGACTAGAAGGTCCCTTGCTGTCTTCTGATGTTATGTTACATAACATTTAAGTCGTATATATATACACACACTACACCCAAATATTGCAAATATGCAGAACAGATGCAAATAAAATGAAGTGAGTCTGTGAGAATATGTTTATAGCAGACATAAAGTTGATGCAAACCATCAAACTCCTTATAGATAAAACAGTATATGGCTTGCAAATATGCAGAGGTATGTAATATGTATACAATGTGGTTTGTGGGCATACCTTGCAATTTTCACATAACATATGAGAGAAAAAAACGTTGAATTGGCTTTGTTCTAATTGCTTTTGCTTCTTTGTCATTTTGTGTAAAATAACATGTTTTGCCCATGACATGCAGCATAACAGCACAAATATCAACAGCCAATGTCCTACAATGGAAATCCAGATAATATCTTGAGGTAACATCCACTTCTATACTTGAATGAGAATGACCAGTAATACGAGTAGCACTAGTTGTTCTGGGTGAATCTGATGTTATCAATTCAACTTAGACATAGACAGTCTGGAACATCATTTTGAGTGAGTGAGTCAGCTTGGAAATAAGTCTTGAGGAAGTATAGCTGGTCTGATCAATCCATCTCTCCACTATTGAATGGATTCCCATCTAACATGATCCATATTATGGTAACCAAAATGCATTATCTTGCATTTACTATAACTGAAGGTCATTGTCAACTATTTGTCCAATTACCCAATTGAATATCTAAGCATCTTCATTACAGCTAGAAATACCCAAGTTTTTCATCATGAAAAAAAACTTTATTAATTATCCTTATCAATATCATTAATGTAAGTAAGAAAAAGCAAAGTCCCCAGCATTAACCCCCACTAAGTGTACCTAATAAGTTTTGTATTTCAAGACAAATTCACAAACTCTCAATGTAAATTGATATAGGAATTATATGAACTAAAATAGTTTACAAGTTATTGAAGTACGTAGTTAAACATTCATGCGTGTATGTGTTGAGGAAAAATTTCTCTTATTATTTCGATGTTTTACTTTACATTCTACATTTATTAGACTGTTATCATATAAACTTTCATGTGATATGTAAGTTGTGAAAAAAGTTTTATCCATGGAAAAGACATACTGTTACTGAATTTATCATCAGAGTAAATGCAATTAATATTAGCTTAATATCTAATAAATCATCTTATGATTTGTGATTAAATAGTTGTGTGAATCATTTTGCATTAGTTTGTACTTTTCTTTCTTTTCTTTCAGAAAAATGATTAAATACTATATATTGGCTGTGTGTTATTTTAGCCAAGTTTTACAGACAGTTTGTAAATCTTCTACTCTGTTAATTTGTTGTGTATGTTCAATGTTTTTTAGAGTTGGAGTTGAAGAAGAGCATGAGATGCTTCAACTTAGTGGAGCTCAAGCAGTAAGTTTAGATTACAGTAATGTAGGATACCACACAATGAATTTTTATGACAAGAAGAGCACCCTACAGTAGGATTCGGTAGCAAATAGTGTTAAATGTTATCTAATAAAGCATTTGCAGTGGAGTATGGTCAATGTTAAACATTGATTAGCTATTGTTAACAATAAGTGATATTTCTCAGTGATCATTTAGAGCATATTGAAAATAATAATTAAAACATATAAGGTAATTTTTATGGAAATACAGTACACACAAAAATCATTGTTCCATTGGATGCAGCCAGATGCATGATTCTAGCCATAACTATTAGTTCTGGCTGTGGGCATGTCCAAAGAACATTGTTTGTGGAACATTTTACAGCCATGTGGTTGTGAATGTAACCCAAAAGTGGGCTAAATTGTCATATGATGATCAAAGAAGCTGCCAGTGTGGGCTGCTTGTGAATATCCTGTTAATCCAGTGTGCATGTGTATTGGACCAATCCCATATTGGAAAAGGAATATTGAGTATAATCCTGATTTTACTACATGTATCTCTGAGAAATGTGGCATGTTTTTAGTAAAATGTCCAAGTCTGTTGTTTGCAAATAACAGCTTAGTTACAAAGGTATTTGTACTCAAGATATGTCTGTGAATTGATAATGTCAGTCTTACTCAGACTCTGACAAGTTGGAGTGCAAAGTGGTGCTCGTGTGAACAATAAAGATATTTTTGTCCATCAAATAGTTTGCATATTGTATTTGGATAACCTCTAGAACCTCTGAAATTCATACCTACAGTTTTTTTCAGTATCCCTGTAAACTGTATTTACTCTTCTTTACCATGAACTGCCACTAAATCAGCAAAGTTGGGTAAAATGAACAGTTGATAACTCTGACATCAAATGCATAATATCATATAGAATGACACTGTAAAAGTTTGTTGCCTGTACACTTCAACCCCCCGCCCATGTATATAGGGTAAAGTATAGCACAACACATGAGTTTAAGAGGTTACTGAAGTTATTATCAACCAAAACATGTGCATGAGGCTGATCCATTGGACTGACCACATTCTGGAGGAGTGTTGAGTATAATTTCAAATTTCCTAAATGTACCTACACAAATTGTGGCAAGCTTTGAGTAAAATGTACAAGTTTGTTGTACCCAAAAAAGTGATGTTTCAAAGTATCCGTACTCAAGATATGTCTGTCAATTGAAGATATCATTGTGTACAAGACTGACAATTTGTAGTGCAAGGTGTGATAACCATGTGAAGAATGAAAATACTTTAGTTCATTTTAAGATTGTATGTTCACATAATCATAACAAAATATAACTTGTATATTAATCTAACATTCACACATGCTTGTAATCCTTGAAATAAGGTTAAGAATATTTATCCAAATTCACATTTCAAAACTTATAAATTTAAATTTAAACAGATGTGGGCTGTCTATGGCCTATTGGACTGTAAATCTAACTGTTCATGTTTCAGCTCCTATTTTCACAGGAATATGTTGTGAATTTTAGGTCCATAGTTTTTTATAAGTATGACTGCCAAATCCCATTATTCATTTCAGTTCAAAATTAGGGATGCCTATGTGCATATAATTCTTATGTAGTAGCTTTGTGCCAAAATTCTAAGATTCATTTCAGTAATGATTTTCTACTTGATGATGTTTAATACAAAGTAATATAAGAAGCATTATGAAAAGGTAGGCCTTGCTTTAGTAGACTAAGTATTTATTTGGTATATTTACTCAATCTTGTTAAAGTTAATTTTTTATCCAAGATCAGTTTACCACTGTGTATCAGTTATTTCCCACTGAATGAAATTTTTTTTGTGATCACATCTTCTACCATCAGTGCTTTAATCTTGTTTTCTGAAAAAAATGCATACATTTGTGTTAGAACAATTACAATAATAATACATAATAAATATGCATGTTGGGTTAACATATAAATACAGTATAAAATGCAACTGAGTTTATAATTGGTGCACACTGTAATAGCAGTCCAATCTAGATATGCAAGATGGACAACAGAACTAAGTTATTAGTCAGTACATAAATGTGAATGATGTCATGTTTCTTTAATAAGCCCAAAGCACATTTTTGAGTATACTTAACATTTTGTTTTTAAACCTGCACAATTTACTGTATCTGAGTATCTGATGATGATATATTTTAGATGTAGTGTCAATGTTAAGGTCAGTATGTCTAGCAATAAACAGTTTCAGGCTTTTTAGTTAGGGCAGAAATACTTCATATGAATATTAGGATTTTTTTTTGTTGGCTTGCAAAATCATTATTTCAAATGTTCTAGTAATAATTTGTTTGTGTTATGATGCATTTATTTCTAATGTAAAATGTACTTATATAATACTCCAAGCTAATATGATTTGTACAAAAGATTGCTAAAATTTCGAAATACATAAATTTAAATTGATTTAGTGTGTTGTAAAATTTACTTTATTTTAAGTGTGAATGTGTACAAATGTACAAAGAATGTATTCTGTGATTAATGACATAGATTTCTATGGTTAAGAACTGAAAATACACAGAGGCAAAAGAGGAGGAAGGTGTTAAGCTATGAATAATGATATGATTTTTGTCATGTCCACGCTATAGCAAAGACAGCCCATGTTTGTTCTGCAGCTAATGGAGTAGTACTTTTTTTTAAGTGTACTGTATATGGAAACTTTCAAAATATGGATGAACACACATGATTAAATTCATGGTTAGTTCACTGAAGATACCAGTTACCAAGAAAAAGCTGTTTCATGTAAATGGTAATCTACATTTCCACCTTTTTGGTTTATAAAATGACCAGACATGTTTATTATTGATCTGTCATCCACACCACTATTTTCAAAGTTTACCTCTCAACAATAGATCTGGTTTATTATTTTCATAGTTTGTTCTTAATATGAACTAATAGGTTACCATGTATATAGTTTTCTTGAAAACGAAACTCTTCCTTATTTACTATACATTCCAATACCTACTCAAAAAATATCATGAAATATATTGTGATACAAGTTGTTTGGATAGACGTACTTATCCCATGGCTATGACCTGCTATTGGTTTTGAAAGTTAGCTCTCAAATTGGTGAAATTGGCCAGGTCCCTCTAGTTGCATATAAATTAGTTAATCTTATGTTGCTAACAATTTCTCAATACTTGGTTGACTAGTTCCAAGTTTAAAAGTAAATGTATGTTACAGATATGTTAAATGGCAAAAAATTACATTTTCGGTGTTTTTTTATTTTAGCCATTCTAAGTAAATTCTCCACCCCATCCTTAACTACTTCAAAGATGTTTCCTTCTCTGAATCTCCATACAGCAAAACTACAATGTAGCTTTAATAAAAATATGAAAAGTGTGGCAATTTTATGTTTAATATATATTTGATTATTGGCAAAATATTTTCAAAATATAAATGTACATATTGTAAGGTTAGCATATTCAATAAATACAACATAAAACTAAATGCCAAAATGCAGTCTAGCAAAGTTCACTTTTATCCATGAAGAACAATTCTCAGTATTTGAACAGTTAAACTGGTATAAAATAGTTTGTCCTGTCTCAGTTTTATAATTGAAACTTGTTGCTTTAATGATGAATTAGCTTTTGATTTCTTTTTTTTAATTATGCCTGCTTTATACATTTTTTCCCTGTGGTACATGATGTTAATACATGTTGTTAGGAAAACACAAGTTCAAAATATCAGTTAAAGACAAAACCTAGTTGTTGTTGTTAATGTTAACTCTTTAACACTGCATTTTCCAACCTTGGGTTAAATTTTGATGCAAAAGATATTCCAATTCATATAAAACAACTAGAGTTCCATGTACATGAGGTAATATGTCAGTAACATAAAGAGATCTAATTAATAACAAAGAATTAATGCTGATAAACAGTAGGTGTAGTCATGTGAAATTTACAACATGCTGTTAGTTGTCTACTGTATGCATTTTTTAGCAAAAACATTATCATCAAATTATATAGCATGATAAACATGACTGTGATTAAATAAAGTAGAACTTCTCTTTAGGGCTCTGTACTTGTAGACTAAATGTTTTTGGTAACAGTATAGATATGTTTTTGTTTAAACAGGTATTTGTTGAACCATGTGTGTGACCTATATTTCATCATGTAAAGTTCAAAATTTATGTGCATGTTCGTGTCATTTATGTATAATATTGAAGTGTACCAGTTTTTGTTTTCATTTGTAAAAGTTTGTTCATCCTTGTTCTGTTTAATAAGTTATCCCATATTTTCTGTACATGTATTGAAATTTGTTTTCTGACAGTTATTTAAAGCATTTTAATGCAAAATAGAATCGAAAAAAGCATAAAATGTAGTCACATGAGTAAAAATTTATTGTTTGCAGGTGTATAATACAATGGATTCTCAGGCGGTAAGCCAAATACTATCTCCATGTACATGTTTCACTAAACTTAATCCTTACTCTAGCACCAGCTGCTAATATTCAAAAACTCTCTGCCAGCTTCTCACAAATAAATGTTTTTTTTTCCCTTTCCTTTTTGCAATAATTCTTTTTTTGAATAAATTTTCTGTAATTCTGCTTAATACTTTCTGTATTAACATAATACGTAGTATTTGAATACAATTGAGTTTTTTGAATACTTATTAATACTCTTAAATAATGCAGATAGTGACATGAAATTTTGAACTGTGTTGCGATTTGCACTTGTTTCACTAGCTATTAACTCTTATCCTTTTTTCGTATTTCTTAATTAGTATTATTTGTTGAAACACTCGTATATTCATAATTTTTAGGGAAATAGTCTTAGAGTTTGCACATTAAAAATACGTACTTGTAAAAAGTTTTATACAATATGATATGTAATTAGCTATTTTTATGCTAATTTTGTTTAAATGAATTCATGTAAATATATATATATATATATATATACATATAATTATGTTTTAACATATTGATAAGTAAATTAACTGAAAAACCAGCAATTCTATTTTGATGATTTCGAACTCTGTGTAAAATGTTTATTATTTAAACATTGAACTAAGATAAACAAGTTAAGTATTTTGGAATATTTTGAGTGGTAAGTGAGGGCAGTTAATTACTTTTGATTTATAACAACTTGTTTTCTTAAGAACATCACAAACTTCACTTTACCCAGCACAAGTTTAATTAGACACAATGATAATGTAAGGAAGATATAGTGGAAATATACTGTACACAGACTGTGCTTGAAATGAACTGTATTTCAAATTTTCAGAAACATGAATTTATAAAAAAGAATTGATTTGTTGTCTTTTTTTCCTTCTTCAGAAATGTTTAAATAAGTTGTAATTCACTAAAAGATACGCATGTGTTTTAAAGTTGTGAATGCTTATTTTTTTTTGTTAATAAGACTCCCCAAGTCTCCACACCAAATGAACTAAGAAGTCCACCACCTGTGCCTGAAAATAGAACACCATATGAAAAAGCTTGGCTGGTTCGGAAGTGGCATAATTTTGATGTGATGTATCCTTTTGTGATTTTAGGTTAGAAAAGTATATGCTAAGAAACTATTTAAAAGTGAGTTTAATATAGAAAAAGCTTTAAAAGAACGTAGAGTACTTATAAAAGCACATTTTAGTGTCATGTTTAGCAGTATGTTTTATCACAACATATTTCAAATATAATAACTAATTTTTATTAGAAAGTGTTAATACTTTATGGTTTAAGAAATGTTCATACATATTATTATTTTTTTGCTGTTACACAGTTCTTTTAAAGGTTGACAAAGGTTTGTTGGAACTTAAACAAATATGAGATTCTTTAATGAAAATCCAGGTTCATGAAACCCCTTCTGACACACAGCCAGCCTACTTTGATGGAAACTTTGCCTGGGTGTTGTCTGCCATTTTCTAAATTACTAACAACAGAAAAGCAGCTGTCACAGGTACAGTAATATTTTTGAAACTTCATAGCACTTACTAGGTTTCATTTGGCTACATCTGTTAACAACTGTACTATTTATGTAAAAGTTTTATTTGTAGCAAGCTATGGATCACTGCTAATCACTTTTGTTGAGTTGAACAATATCAGTGTTTTGGAGTTTAACATTTAAATACTAAATGAAATGCACAGTTTATTACAGGCCCTTATGGAAGTATAAAAACTAAAATGCAAAAAATATAACTGATGTGTGAGGCGTGCAAAATTTGCTTGACTTGAATAAAGCAACAAATTAGGCTTAACTTTATTGTTGGTTCTTGTTACTTACTTTGCAATATCCACTGCTGTATTACTTGTACTATTGTTATTGTCATAAATGTTGTTAAAATTGATTTTACCATAAACTTTCCAGTCAATTCTTTGGCATATTACTATGTTTATTGATAAATTTAATGAATTGTAATGAATATTATAATAGTCATCCACATCATATTTTTAATTTGTAGTATTAAACATCAGTTAAATTAATGTTATGATGATATTTTTACTTCTATATTTATAAATCTTAAAAAAAACAACTTAATTATCACAAAAACGTTTAGTAAGTTTTGTCAGTAGAAATGTTTTTAAATGGCATTTTTCTATCACTGTTTGTAGATTTAAGTTTTTAGGAAATGTTTTTAATGTGATTGTATAATGCAATACATGTTTTTTTCTTATTTTCCTCATATCGAGGAACAGTGGCACAGTGATATGTCTGCAGACTTCCTGCATCAGAAACTTTAATTATCGGTCAAGATACGACAGAACTATGCTCATTCACGGCTAGAAATATTTTCATAACCCTTTTTAATTACTGTGATGATGTGTACGTGTATCACTTTTTTGAAAATCTTAAACATTCAAAATAAATATTGTTAATCTTTTAATTCAAATTTTCTTATCTTTAACATATAGGAAGGTATAATGCATAATGATGATGACTCAGATTCTGATTTGGAAATTATTGAAAGTAACTTTACAACATTTCGTGGCAGGGGTTTAAGCAGCCAAAACTCTGTTACTAAGGTAAGAGTCTTTAACTCTCTCAACACGGGCTTAGTCAATTTGACCAACCACATTATCTCTTTGTACTCATTTAAAGTCTTTATAGATTTAATACTTCTAACTTTCAATATAATGTGTATATCTTCACAATATTTGACAATCTTTCAGTTAATAATATAATTTTTCACATACAATAAATCTTATTTTTAGTGAAATATCTTTAATAAAGTAAAGATTTGTCCATGAATTTATTGAGTATTTGTTTTGAATAGTCCTAATCTCAAAAATCTCAAATTTCCTTTGTGTATTCCCCAAAACCTCCAAGTGCATTTCAAACGTTTTTTTTCTGTAAAACTTTATAGTTTATCTGTTATTTTCTCTATCCTATCTCAAAATGGGATCGGTCAATTAGACCGACCTCATAACCACCAAAAAATAAATGAAATAAACCTAAATTACCTTTTTTTCTTTCTGAAATGACTTGAAATTGTAACGTGAAACTATATTCGTTTATTCTAAGTATCTCTAAGTTTGTAATAATATACATCTATTTATAATTAAATTTTATTGTTTTATTGCCCTTTGAAGCATGTCTGACTACTATCCACACCATTATAAGTTGTAAATCACTTGGGTAACGTGCAGGTCACATTACGCTAATGAATTACATTACCCATGAGCTGCTCATCTGTGTACATCATGAAAATTTTTTATTATAATATTATCTATTTTACTTAATCTAATCTTAACAAACCTAAAAGGATCCCTATTTTTACATTTTAGTTACTTTTATAATTATACATAAAGAATAAACATGAAAGACAAGAAATAAAATGCTTAACCAATCTTTTTTCTTGCTGTTGTGTTTCGAAGAGAGTTAATCCTAATTGTTTATACTATAGATAATAATGCATCAAAGAATATAGACTAATAATATGCAAAAAGTAGACAGATTCACTTCCTCTCAATTTTCCTGGCTTTCTAACTATGTAACAAGAGCCGTTACAAATTCATTCAAGCTAGTCATTAACTTACCCATGGGAACGACGTTCATTCTTTGAGTGAAATTGACATTTAACCATTCAGAAGATAATGTTATACAATACGTCATTTGATAGATGAAAACCTTGGCTTTCTATTGGTTATAGTTAATGTATAATGAAACGTAAGAAAGAACTATCAGTGAATTCTGAAAGAGAGTATGTGACAGGTGAGTGTGGCATGAGGGGTCTGATTTTCTATTCAATAGCTCTGTAACCAAACAAAATTGAAGGCTATAAAAGTTATGGTTTGTCTGAGCAATAAAGATTTTATAGAGAGTAATTTATGTTTAATTTCATACTTTTTTGAGGGGTTGT